ATAAGTTTTTCTGATAAGTCTTTTATTTATGAATGAGGTAAATCCAATCAGCTGCTGACCTCTGTGGGTCTGGGTGGTTGTGGCTCAGCGTGTGTGTACATGTGTATATGTGTATGTACATGTGTATGTGTGTGTGTGTACGTGTATGTGTATGTGTGCACATGCACACACAGTTTCCTGTTCTACTTTTTTCTTATTTCCCATAGCAATAATTGACCCCCTTCCATGTTAAAGACTCCCCAAAGGTAGAAGAAAGCTTGCCCAGTGATGCTGGAATCATCTTCATGTGATTATCTGAGTGTGGCCTCCAAGGAAGTTACTTCTGGAGGCCAGTTAATTCCTGACTTAATGAGAGCCCGAAAGCCCCAATCACGCTTCTGAATTTGGTAATGGCAAGTCTCTGCACACACATCTGGGAAGCAAGCATGCATAGAGGAAGCCTTTGATAGAAAACAGTAGTTAAGCCAGAGCAGCCATTTGACAGATGCCTCTTGAACAGCATGATAGGCTCCAGCTCATGGGAGGACATGACAAGGAGTGTCCCTGGGAGCAATGGCCGTCTGAGGCCAGAACACAGTGGGGGTCGGTCCTCACAGGGTCTTACGAATCCTTGCCACAGCTGTGTGGCACGAGGTGTGATGACACCCTGTCTATCAATGCAAACACTGAAGTTTCCATGACTCAGCCTGTCCACTAAAGGGACTTCCTGCATGGAAGGGAGGACACCCCAGCCAAGTGGGGTGATTGACTTCACTTGTGTCGTATGTTCCTGGGATCGAGTCTCAACAGTGGAGTAGAGAGTCCTGAGATGCTGGCACAAAAAGTTGAGCTGTGCCCTTTACCACATCCAGGCCTGCAGACAGATGAACTTGACTTTTAGTCATCAGATACTTATTAAACGTCTGCTGCAGGCACTGTGCTAGGTGCAGGGAGAGATGTGAGGGCTGATGCTCTGTCTGCCTGGAGGCCAAGGCTAATGGAGAGCTGCCTCTCAGGATGTATTCTTGTATCTCGGGACTGGTCCTGGTGGGAGGCGTTCAGAGGCATTCATTCATTTCTTCATTCATTGAACAAAGACATTGAAACCACTATATCTTTTAACAGGGTGGGTGCTGAGGACTTAAAGGTGAGCAGGACTGACATGAATCTGGCCCTGAAAGTGTGCCCGGGGGTATCTAATTGTGGGCAGATAGATACAGAATGAAGGATATCGTTTTTTGTAATATTTTAGGGGAAAAGGTGTGAAAAAATGTGTAATGCAAACAGAATTGTAGAGGGAATGTTTATACACAAATCTTTACCTGCTTTGGTGTATTTCCTTTGCATTTTGACTGTATGTATTTTTTTAAGCGTAGCTACACGTTGAAGTCCCTTGAAACTTTCCTAGGCTGGTCTGGGCAAATTTGAAACTGCTCTGTGGTGCATCTTTAGTGGTACTGTATATAACTAGGGTGGGTTTTTGCAACACTGTTCACCTTAAAATGTTGAAGAAAACTCTATTTCCAGTCCTTTGTGCCTCAAGCTCCCCCTGCCTGCAGATGCCTTTTGGCTGCCTGCCTCAGTGGCTCAGTGGCTCAGTGGCTCAGTGGCTCAGTGGCTCATTGGCATTCATTGTTTAAGCTATAGGTCAGGGAAAATCATTCACTCATGCATTTGACAAATATTTATTGAATACCTGCTTCTGCCAGGCATGGGTCTAGGAGCAGCATGGATATGATACTGACACATTAGTGAAAAAAAAGTAGATAATAATAATGGCATTAATAATAAATTAATGTTAATAATAATATTATAGTACTACATTAAGATAATGGTAATATATTTGTATTTATATTATAAATAATTATAATAATCATTATAATAACATGTTAGTAATAATAACTTTAAGGTAAAGGTAATACAGGAATATTTTGTACCTTCTTGTGTATTAGAAGGTAAAAGAATCTCTGGGAAAAAATGGAGCTGAGTAAAGAAAGGGGAGACAGTTGCCATTGGAAAAGGTGGTCAGGGTGGTTTTCATCCAAAAGGTGACATTTGAGCAAGAAGTATTAAAAGGTGAGGGAGTGAGCATACACTACCTGGGCAGAGAGAGGGGCCAGGTGACTGAGTGTGAGGGGAAGGGGCAGCTGCTGCAGAGTTTGGGACAGAGGACAGTCACGGTGGGACTTGTATTGTGGGGACATCACTCTGGCTACTGTTTGGTAACTGGGTTCAAGGATGGACTCAGGGAGACTGGGGGTGGGTGTTCTAGCTGGACGCTGGGATGGAGGGTGAGGAAAGATGCCTCGTGTATTTTAAAGGAAAAGGCAAAGAATTTCCTGAAGGACTGGACGTGGGGTGCGAAATTAAGAGGAGGCTAAGATGTCTCAGTATTTTTGTCCTGAGAAACTGGAAGGATGGAATTGCCATTAGCCGAGCCGAGAAAGGCTGTGAGTAAACAGGATGGGAGGGACGACGAGGAGCTATGCTTGGCGCCTCGCTGAGTTTGAGTTCGGCATCTGAGTGTAGCGTCTGAACAGAGGAGAGGTCAAAGCTGGAAATATAAATTCGGGAATTATCAAAATAGAGTTGATATTTAAAGCTGTGAAACTAAGGAGAGAGTCCCAAGGAGCGAGTCCTGACAGAGGAGAGAGAGGCTGAAGGCTGAGTCCTGGGAAATGCCAATGCTAAGAATTGGGAGGAAGAGGAGGACAAGGAAGCAACCGAGGACAGGAAAATCGAGGGCCTACGATCTCCTAGAGACAAAGTAAACAAAGACTTTATAGAAGGGACAGTGACATCACTGCATTAAATATTGCTAATGGGTTTAACAAAGATGAAGACTGAGAGTTGACCGTCGCCTTTAGCGTCATGGAGGTCATCGTGTCCCCGGCTCTGGTCCCCAGCCCACCCAGCCTGCACCTCTGCATGCCGTCCTGACCCGACCAGCTCGTCAGCTGCACCTCGCACATAGTCGCTTCCTGTGTGCTGTCCTGCAGACAGACCGACGCGGGTGCTCCTGCTCTGTACCGGCACTGTGCTAGGTGGAGCGAGCACGCAAGGGTGAATGAACTGGGTGCTCTTCCGCCCGTGGATATCTGACAGTCCAAGGAGAAAAACAGGGTGCACAGACTCTTACAGTAGGAGAAAGTGGTTCAGGTAGAGTGAAATGATGAGCGTTGACAGGACAAGAAATTTTCTCTGGGGGTCAAGATTGAGTGCATGGCTGAAGTGGCCTTTGAATTTGGTATTGAAGGGTGGACTGGACTTGGAATTAAGGAGGTGGAGGGGAGAGGATAACATGTTAGATAGAGGGAGGCGTGGGGGCCAGGATATGCAGACAGGAGGCTCAGCAGGGCCCTGGGGGGCAGGGGAGGAGGGGTGGAGGGGGAGGTGAGGGTTTGGCTGGGGGCCTGATGAGAAGGCCTAGAAATTAGAGGCTGGGCTTTATTTCTTAGTCAACAGGGGGATCGTTAAAGGTTTTTGAGCCATGGAGTGACGCGGTGATAGCTGTGCTGTTTCAGGAAGAGTCATTTGGCTGTGTGTGCAGAACCGTCCAGGAGCGAGATAATAAGGGCCTAAATTAGGCAGCGGCAGGGGGAGCAAAGAGGGGGGCAGCTGCGAGGTGCAGGGAGCGGGCTCCGGGCCCAGTACCCGGAGGAAAGTGCATTACGGGGTGGAGCTGGGGTGCTCTCCTGTCCTGAGACCCTCGTCAGCCTCTGAGGGCAGTGGCCTTGCCTGCCTCCTGCCCTTCACCCTGACCCACCCCATCCTCTTCCGAGCCTGTGCGTGCTCAAGCTTCGCCTCATTCATGAAACGAAGTTGCTTATTTTGGGAACTCCATGATTAACGAGGTTTCCAAGTTTGGGAAACAAAAGAGCCCTGTGCGTTTCAGGACTCTGCACTGGCACTGTGCCCACTTTAAAGAGGTGAGAGCTGGCCCATCCGGGTCACCTCTGGCCTGCAAGCTCTGCTCTTCCCTTGCATCGGATCTGATCGGCTGCACGCAGCATTGTCAGGAGTTGTTGAGCACAGGCAGCTCCGAGGCCCAGAGAGGGCGATACAGGGTGCCACCTGCCAGCAGCACCATAGGAAAGGCCAGGCCACCAGGTGGGGCTCTCTGCTCCTCCTCAATAACACTGGGCCTGCTCCTGTCCCTAGAAATCCAGCCACAGGGGCATGGGCATCGTGCCAGAGGATGGAAACCCTCTCAGTGCGCCCAGGCAGTCTGGGGCACGGCAGGTCATGGCCCCAGGGGGGTCGGCACTGGTGGCCGTAGAAGGCTGGGTTCCCAGTGTGGTGGGGGCAGGGCCGGCTACCAGTCCCAGCATCCCAATTCCTGTGGCAGCGCAGGGGGAAGAGCCTGTGTGGGGGCGAGGTTGGCTTCCTCCTGAATCTGCCCATAAAAGGATAAAAGTGCTGCTATCTGGTCGGCATTGGTAGGATTGCTGATGATAAATTTTTTAAAAGTGTGGATTTTTCCCTGTCTCTGCAAGGCTGTGTGTGTGTGTGTGCGCGTGTGCGTGTGCGTGCGGCGCGCCTGCCTTCACACGGCTCGCAGCCTGCATGTGCTAACAGATGGGTTCCGGTGCTGCAGAAGATAAAGCTCCAACTGCATGATATGCTGCCTCTTCAATTTTCAAGAGAGAAAAAATAAAAAAGAAAAGCTCTTCAAGGGAAGCCCTTATGGTAGGAAAGAGTGATCCAAAATATTGCTGGGCTTTACTCAAAAGGCGAGCACAGCAGAGCCGTTTGAAAGTGATTTTTCTGCTCCCCCTACCCCACCCCACCTTCTCCCAAATACATCATCTCTGTGTCAGAAGTAGGCCATGCTTTAAGGCTATCATGAATTATATATCAAGGGACATCATTTCCCAGGAGTCTTGAACAAATGCCCCATGGTTTAAATGTTACAGACATCTTCCCCCCGCCCCCCCGCCCCCCCACCCAGTGGCAGCGCTTTCTGTCACTGCAGTCCTCCTGAGATGGAATGGGAGAGAGTTTTGCAAATGCACAAAGAGACGTTATGCTAATAAAGGGAATTGTGCAATGGTTAGAAACGTTCTGGCTTTTACCCTCCACACGCTGCCCCTGCGCTCCAGCCCCTTAGGTTGCTTGCGCTTGTCTTGCCTTATTTCAGCAGGAGTCAAAGACATCCAGGGTTAAGGCGGATGGAGAGAGGGGAACTGAAGTCAACTGGGCCCTTCTGTGCTCACCCTTTAAGGCAAAGACCCTGCCGTTTCATTTGACTATCAAATATCCTTTGTCTACCTGTTTATTATTCAGTAAGAGTCAAGAAGAGCTTTGTGAGAAATCCTTCTTTTATCTAAAATTGGAAGCATAATTCATTGGCTAAATTGGAAAGGTGGGTTTGGGGATTTTGGTTCTTTGCTTCCTTGCACTATTGCATGGGTCAGAGTTAGCCCAGAGCACAGGAGCCGAGGACAAGCGGTGACCAGGCTAGAGTGCTGGGTAGGGCCTTCCAGAGACTGACAGCTACAGCTGCAGGAAGTGGCCTTCTCTGCTCCACGCACCATAATCACCTCCCAATGCTTCCTTCTGATGTGGATGTTTTAAAAGTTCTGAGTTCTCCTGTTTACAGCCTTGAGAGAATCCAGATATAATTCTTTATATGAGCTTCCCATTTTTTAGTGTTTAATAATCTTTTTATTAATTATCTCACTTTATTATAATACTTTGGGGGTATGGAAGGCACATGTTTTTCCCATTTTAGAGATAAAATAATTGACAAAGTGGAGAAGTAACATAACTAAGGTCACTGCTGCTACAGTAGTGATACTACATGCATATAGATGCAGATCAGCACACACCGACACATACACACACACATGGTATAAAATGCAAACATGACAATGTCACTCTGTCCCTACCAAATAATAAAAGGTAAAACCTGACATCCAGAGAGTAAGCTCCTTTTGAGGGTGTGCCTGGCCCTCTGGCTTTCCCAGCCTGGCCTCACGTTGCAGAGAGGCCTCTCTCCCAGGCCATCCCATCATTTTCTTACATCTCAGCCGTACCCAGTGACACGTGGTTCCTCACACCAGGAGCTTCATCACTCTCATCCGTTTTTAGTTCCTGTGCCCTCTGCCTGAGCACCCTGCTTCCACTCTCATGTCCCCCACTTGCCTGGCTTGGTGCCACGTGGTGTCCAGGCTTGGCTCAGGCTCTGGCCCCTCCAGGAAGCCTCTTCCGGCCAGACCCCACCACCCAGGTGGAGTCCAGTGCCATCCCCAGCGCTTCCACATCAGCCTGTCACCCGCCCCACTGTATTTACATGTCGTCTCATATGTTTATGTTTCTGGTAGCTCATGAGCTGTCAGCCAACAGGAGTGAGAGGTCACACTTCGTTCTCACAATCTTCATCCCCAGAGGTGGAAGGGCATCTGCAAGGTGGGCTTGGTGAGATTCCTCTTCCCTGTCCTTCTGTCTGAATGTATCCCAGACAAAGACTGGACTCACAGGGGACAGTCTGGTGACTGTCCTGTGTGCCGTTCAGGTGTGTGGCTACATCCAGACCCAAGATGAGGCCACAACTGCTGCCTCATTCATCACCCCACTGACCCCGGCCTCAGCACCACGCTCAGCTGACACTTGGAGAAGGAGCTTGATTTCCAGAGCCTGTGCTGTCTGTCTCATCCCTGTCTCATTCGTCACTGAGCCAACACAGCCCCAGTGCAGAGGCAGGTTGTCATGGGAGAACAAATACAGGATTCAGAATCAGACACCCTTCTGGCATTGACCCGCCGTGTGATCTCAGGAAATTCACCTAAACACTCTGGGCCTTCTTGTGTCTGCATCAGTAAAACAAGTAGAGGTAGATTCTACGTGAAGCTACTTTGATAATGAGAGATTATTTTGTATAGTGCTTCGTACATAAAGGATATGCATAAATATTGGCCATCCTTAGTATGAACAAATTTAAGTTTGCAATCCAGTGAATCAGAGGATTATTAATAATACAGCAAAATGATTTGTCATTACTGAAGAAGTCATTGTCTTAGTTCGGGGTGCTATAACAGCAGGTGTAGGCTGGGTGACGTAAATAACAGAAATTAATTTCTTGTAATTCTGGAGACAGGGAAGTCCAAGGTCAAGGCTGGGCGGATCTGGTGTCTGGTGAGGACCCACTTCCTGGTTTGCAGATGGTTCTTTCCTATTTGTGTCCTCACATGGTGGAGACGCAGAAAGTTCATTTCTCTCATGGCTGTTCTTGTAAGGTCACCAATGTCATTCATGAAGCTCTGTTCTCATGACCTTATTCCTCCCAAAGTCCTTACCTCTAAATACCCATTCCATTGGGGATTTCAGCTTCAACATATGAATTTGGGGGGTTACAAACATTCTGTCCCTAATCACCATCAAATTGTTGCCTTAGGTATTACAATTTTCAATAAAAAGGATGAGAATATGTTTAAGGCATGAGCATTGAAATCAAAGAAATCCATTAGCTGTTTGACCAAGCATATTCCTTTATGTCTCTTAGCCTGGGCATCTCAAGACCTGCCTTGCCGGAGTGTGGATGTGAGGATAGACTGGGAGAGGAGGGGTGGGGAGCTGGCTCTTAGGACGTGGTGGTTCTCAAAATTTCTTTACCTGAAGCTGTCTTACATCCGTCCTGTGACCATGGGTCTCTGATGGATTGGAACCAGCTCGTTCTGACTCCCCGTGAGCCTCTACAGGGAGTGTAGACAATTCAACAGAAACCCGCTGTCTGACCAGATGTGACTCAATACTGGACACCCAAATGAGAATGAGTAAGAAATGTGGTACCAGGCCTGGGCAGCCTGCCCCTTTCCCAGGCCACAGGCCCCTCACCCACCAAGCGAAGGGCGGCAGACAGTTGCTCAGGTGGCTTCCAGCTCTGGCACTGAGTGAGTCTGACATATAGTCGAGCAAGTTGTCACTCATAGACCAGGCAGTGCAAAATCATCCTCATTAATCTGCTTGAAGTTCTGGTGCAAGAGAAGCCACTGGGTCTTGCCACATCTAGAATTAGCTCTGAGCCCTTGGGCTTTTAATTAAAGGGCTTTGTGAGTCAGAGCGTTCATGGTCAGGTTCAGGTCTTTGGGGAGACACAGAGGGAGGTCCTCTGTTCTGTCATCTACTTGTTGAGAAATCAGCTGCTTCTCCCAGCACCAGGACTCAGAGTCTGGAGTCTTGCAGGGGACTTCCAGGAATGGCTTGTGGTTGAGCTACGCTCCCCACTTTCGCTGACTCCAGGCCCCCGAGGCTCGGGGACAGTAGGCATGTTGCACGTCATCGCTTTTTTCCTTGTGAGTGTCTGAGCCGGGCCAACCTAGTGAGATTCTGGTGCGGTTCCCCCTGTAGCCACAATGCCAGTGGTGTTTCTTACCCAATGCTGTTTCCTCTTTGGGTGGTTTGTGCTAAATGCATTTTCAATCCCAAGTGGTACAGAGAATAAAAGGATTGTCTAAAAAAAAAGTGGCTTTAGATGTGTTGAAAGCAAGCTTGCCTGCTGCGTGTTTTTAACAATTGCCTCCCTAGAGGAGCCTTTGAAAACCTCACCTTTCAAGATGTTTCAACTCCTATTAGAAAGTGACTTAAATAAAACTGCTCTTCTGACCATTGCTGTTGTGGTTTCCAGGCTAGTGACTGTTTGTCTAGCCTGAGTCTCCAGGGCTGGAACTTCACACCATTTCTCTCTTGCTACCCTCCCAGAGGAGGTGAAATCACACTTGTCACATTCTTCTACGTGGTGTCACTGGGCAGGGGGTTGGGAGGTGCACACGGTAGAGTGTGGGCTTGCTAGAGAGACTGCATTATGGTTTCAACTAGATACATTTCCTTTTCCCATAAACTACTAGTAGGCACCTATGGTGTGCCCAGTCCCACATTAGGGCAAGAGCTCTATCTTACACGTGCATTGTCAACCTGTAGCATACATCATGGCGTTCTGCACCTTCCAGGGTTCTTGCGAGATAACCCCAGTTTCTCTTAATTTCCTTCTGGATGCTTATGGGTTCAAGGTACTTGAATGGGTCTTTGTGTTTGGATGCCTTTGCATCAGGATTTCTCAACCTCGGTGCTACTAACACATTGGGCCAAGCAGGTCTCTGCTATGGGGGTCTCTCCTGTGTGTGGTAGGATGTTTAGCCACATCCCTGGCTAGTAGCACCAGACACACCTCAGTTGTGACAACCAGAAATGTCAGCAGACATTGCCAAACGTCTCCTCACCACTTTACATTTTCCAAAGTGCCCTCATGTCCTTTACAGATAAGGCCAGGAAGAAACTTGCCCAAGTCAAACAGTGATTTGGGGACAGAGCTATAGCTATAATTTAGATCCATTCATTGATGTGCTGGTAAATATTTAGTAATTAATTCTCTGGGATAAACAAAAACAGAACAGACTTGATTAGGAGCAGGTGCCAATTTCTATGGTGTAAATACTCCCACCATGGCTGGTTTCACACTGCTTCCGTGACTTGCCTGAATGTGAAGTTGGGAAGAAATACGTACAGTTGGCTCTGGTGAGCTGGTGCTCACTGGCTCCAGGGTCTCCCTGGGTTCCTGTGTGCTGCTGTTCACGTAGTAGTCTTACTCTCTTCTGGACCTTGTTCTTCCGCCTCCAAATGTCTGTACTTGTCACTGTGATGTTCTGTGGGGGGACCGTGAGCCTGGTAAGGGTGTTTGATCACCTCTTTGGGTAAGCATAGAGTGGAATTTTCTCTCCTTTCTGTTAGAAAGTTTCTTCTCATGACCTTTCCGTGGAAAGAGTTGTCGAAGGAGTGGGACAGCTCTGGCCTTAGTTAGAGTAGACCTTCGGGGATTTCACCGTGGCTCTCGCGGACTGATGAGCTCCTGAGCAGGGACTCAGCCTGAGCATCAGACCTGTGGAGTGTGAGATGCTTGGAAGACATCAAAGTGACAATGGCCAGTGGGCTGTTGGGTATGCCATTGTGGATAACATTCACATTACAGAACCTTGGGCAGTGGTTGGTGTGACTGGAAGGCGGGTAGCCCCAGGGGAGGGTAGCAACATGGTGTGGCATTTGGATTTGATCACAAAGGCAGTGGGAGGTGCTTGAAGGGTTTTAAGGAGGGAAGACACGTCATCAGATCTGTGCTTTAGACAGTTCTGCAGGGTACAGGGCCCCGGCCCTGGCAGGATGCAGCCAGTTAGGAGGGTGGTGCCACAGTCTAGTTGAAAAGGGATGAGATGGGTACAGTGAACACAATGAACACTATCTGGGTGATGAGCACACTTATAACCATGACTCAAGCATTATAAAAGTGACCCATGTAACCAAAAATATTTGTACCCCCGTAATACTTTGAAATTAAAAAAAGGGATGAGGCAACCCCTGGGTGCTAACTGCTGAGTGGCACAGATAGAAAGTGCTGTGAGTGTTAGCAAGGGAGAGGCCAGTGTGGACCACAGTGAATAGCGGGATACTGGAGAAGACTTCGTGGAGGACGAGAGACTGCTGGTGGCCTTGAGTGATGGCAGAAAGAAGGGAGGTCAAAGTCTAGGCTGTGGGATAGGGTGAGTGCACACAACACTGCAGTAAATTACACTGGGCTTAAGCTGGGAGCTTATGTAAAGGATGGGTCTCAATTAGTGTATTCTCATTTATGGAGGGAGTCGAACCCTAGGCTTAGGAATATGGATTTCGTTAGAAGCCGGTGGTTCTCACGTGGAAAGTACATTTTTCTGTGTCCGTGTCTCTGGGGATCTTGTCCTTATTCATTCCCCTGTCCACTGCCCCCGCTTCCCTTTCTCCCGTGACAAGCTGTGGGGTGCCTGAGGCCCTGATGGGGGCCTGCAGCCCTGCAGCCCTGTGCCATTGGGGAAGGCAGGGTCCCCTTGCATTTTCAGGATGATTGCAACCTGAGTGCCGATCACGTGACTCCTGCCTTTCCCGCAGCAGGGAGCCCAGCACGCACCGCAGCTGTGCTGCTCTGTGGATCACTTGCCAGTGTTTCCCGGGGCCAAGGGTGACCGTTGTCTGCATTGTAGATAAGCCGGCTCCCAGCTGTCACAGGTATGTCCTCAGTCATTCCGCATCCTGTTGACTCTGACGCTCTCCCCATTTCTAAGAAGGATGGCAGTGTCCCGTGTCCCCCGTGCCTGCTTAGTGAGAGTGTGTCCGGCTCTGTCCACAAAGGTGAAGGATGGCCAGCTGCAGGTGCCCAGGTGCAATGAGATTGGCACTTTCCGTGAAGTATTATGCAACAGTGCTGGGGAATGGTGCGGGCTGCAATCATTGCCTCTGCGGCTCACATGGAGACACTGAGGCTCAGAAGTGTGAAATGACTCACTGGAGGCAACACAGACAGGAATGGGTCAGGCGAGGACTAGAAACCGGACCCCCTCTGGACGTCAGTGCGCGCCTGTTGGTTTTGGACTGGGGCATTCTGCAGGAGGGGCTCCATTGCTGTGGTATTTTTAGCATAATAAAATCACTTTCTTAAGTGGCAGTATGTATGACAGGTTACGCTCTTATAGAAACACTCATGGCAGGGCTGCTCTAGGGCGTCGACAGTCTGAAGTTCCAAAGACTGCCCAGCCGAAACCCCTTCATTGGGCAGGTGGTAGCGAGTGACTTGCCCCAATGTCTTCAGCAGACCTAGGGTCAAAGCTGAAACTGGAGCCAGCTCAGATCTTCTGCTTCTCAGCCCTGAGAGCTTGGCTTTCACCCAGCCTTATGGCGTAAGTGGGGTCTCTATGGAGCACCCAGCATGTGTCACCTCCCAGTGCTGCTTATAGATGGTACTGTAGGCCGGGGCCACTGGGGAGTTTTGAGGTGGTCTGTGGGACTTAGGTAGTGTTTGTTGTCTTGTGAGACCAGGTGGCTTTGGGGTACATGAGTACTGCAGGTGTTTGTAGGATATGCTAGACCATACCAGAGTTGCTGGAAACCTGGACAACAGGTGTCTCTGGCCACACTGGCTCTAGGTTGTGCTCACTGCAGGATGGCCATGGCGCCATCTCTTAGTTGCTCACTCCAACGTAGCACTGGCCTGGAACCTCTGTGGCATCCACTTACATCCACCGGTCCAGGGAAGCTTGGCCCCACTTCTTTAGGGCGTTCATATTTGCCGAAGTTCAAATAGGTGCAAGGACTACGCTGGTTACTTTAAGTGCTTGGTGACCCTAATGACCCTGAAACGGGGCTGTTGTTCCCATTGCGTAAATAAGGCCACCGAGACTCAAAGAACTCATAGAGTTGAGACTGGAGTTCACAACTGCTGGGTGTGAGACCCCAGGCTCCTTCCACAGCCCCATCCTCCCCCTGACACTTATGAAAGCCTCTGAGGTATCAGCTTACTGTTCAGCCACAGACTGAATTTAGAAACATCAGTGTGTGTAAGTCCTCCGCAGCGTGGCACTAGCCTCTTTTTCTGCTCGCTGTGTCTCCGCCACCTCTTTCCTTCCTCCCCAGTTGCACTGAGCTGTTCCTTGCCCTCAAAGAAGCTGAATCTTACAAATTCAGCCACCGATATTTCTCATTTGTGCAGGGCTCTGGGCTAGTTACAATACCTGTAAAATGAATAACACATGGCCCTTCCTCTTAAGAAACTTTCCACCCAATGGTGGAGATGAAACATGAGCACAAATAGCTCATTTGCTTTTCAAAGTGGTCCAAAGAGGCTTGCTGGTATATATCTCCATATGATCTGCATTTAACAGGCATTGTATCTGAAGATCAGAGAGAAGTGGCTGACTGAAGGTCACACAGCCCAGCCAAGGCCAAGGGGGCGGGGGAGACCCAAGTTGTCTTCTCCTCCCAAAAAGCAGTCATGCTCCATCAAGGCATCCTCTGGCTGGTGTCACCCTGGAGTGGTCAGACTCAGACTCCACCATCTGACTGTTTGTTTCTGTCTTACTGCTGCCTTCCTGCTGCAAGCAAGGCAGGCTGTCAGCTGCCGATGTCTCAGACCTGCTTGAGTTGTGCCCCTTACCCGTCCCTAGAGGTGACGCTCCTGTGATTGCAGCCTGGGGAGGGTAGAGAGAAGGTGCAAATGCTCCCGTGTCTAGGGTTTGGTTGTACTGATGCTCATGGCTGTCAGACAGGGGGAGGCTGATCTCGCTGGGTTTCCAGTGTGTCTCCCCCCAACGCCCCCCCCCCGGACCCAGAGGAGGGCTGGAGGAGCTGACATGCTGGCATGCTGTCTCAAGGTGAAGGGGTCCATGCCTGTGGGCTTGTTGCGCTCCTTGAAAAGCTGGGTGGAGTTTCCTGAATCCTCCAGCCAGTTGGACAGGTGTCCTGTCTGCGTCCCAGTGCGCTCACCTTGATGGCTGTGTGGGGGGGGGGCATGGGGAAGACACACTGGAAACCCAGCGAGATCAGCCTCCCCCTGTCTGACAGCCGTGAGCATCAGTACAACCAAACCCTTGACATCGGGAGCATTTGCACCTTCTCTCTACCTCCCCAGGCTGCAATCACAGGAGCGTCACCTCTAGGGACGGTAAGGGCACAACTCAAGCAGGTCTGAGACATCGGCAGCTGACAGCCTGCCTTGCTTGCAGCAGGAAGGCAGCAGTAAGACAGAAACAGTCAGATGGTGGAGTCTGAGTCTGACCACTCCAGGGTGACACCAGCCAGAGGATGCCTTGATGGAGCATGACTGCTTTTTGGGAGGAGAAGACAACTTGGGTCTCCCCGCCCCTTGGTCTTGGCTGGGCTGTGTGACCTTCAGTCAGCCACTTCTCTCTGATCTTCAGATACAATGCCTGTTAAATGCAGATCATATGGAGATATACACCAGCAAGCCTCTTTGGACCACTTTGAAAAGCAAATGAGCTATTTGTGCTCATGTTTCATCTCCACCATTGGGTGGAAAGTTTCTTAAGAGAGAAGGGCCATGTGTTATTCATTT